ACCCCTCAGGTCTCTTTCTCAGTGTCCATCTATGTGGATGTAGCTTCTCTTCTCTTCTTTACCATTCCCTTTCTTTGGCTTATGTACTACTTTTCATAAGACTCAGTTCAAAAGAAGGCCTTTCTGAAATGTTTCTTAATATCCTCTCCATTGAGCTTTCCTTGGTTTTTACTTTCCTGGGTTCTCTTGGAGACTGGTACAGATCTTCTTCTAGAAAACTGTGTTCCAGTTTAGTGCACATCTGATCTACTGTTGTGAAGACAAGTTCTGTGTCATAGGTTCTGGGAGGGCAACGTGCATAACACAAAACTCAAGAATGAGAACTCAATGTTTAAAAAATAAATTCATACATTTATGTATTTATTTATAGAGTGCCTATACAATACACCAGGCACAATGTAATGAGCTAGAATTGGCTGTGACAAATTGGACAAATAGTCCTTGTGCAAACCTCTAGTTTAAACAGGAAGACAGATATTGAATAAATAATTAAAATGTGATGATAAAAGACAGATAGGCTAGATCTGAGAAACTTACGCTTTTCCAGGGAATTAGAGAGCTAATCTCTGACCCTTATTTTTAAGCATTAATGTTGTTTAAATAGGAACTAACAGCGGGAGATGTGTTTCCCCAATCAGTAGCAAAGGTCGAGGAACTCGCTGCCTGTGAGCTACTGAGAAAGTCTTAGATATCAGAATCCCTGTTACAGGTGCTCTGAATAATTAGAGTATAACTGTATTTGAACGGGTTACATAACGTAGTATATGATAATTAAGATAGTAGATTTCTGTTTCCAATGGATGGTCTGAGAAGAATGGCTTCGATGCAGAATGACAGGGAACTATAGACAAAATCAATTCCAAATGCCTTTGCTGCATCATTTCTCTGTTTGGTACCTTGGTGGCTATTATTTCCACCTGGTGATAGAACTTGAGCTGTTTCCTTGGAAGTGAATAATAAAGGAAGAACAATTGAAATGGTTGCTGAGGATGAAGTTAAGTATAGAAGAGTGTCACTTTATGATTCATTTATAAGTTTCTGATCTCAAAATTTTAATGAAATATACTGGATCTCCCACCTGCCAGCATACAGGATATCCTACAACTATTTATGGCAATATAATTAAAGCCGATTCTATATACATCCACAAGTCAAAGGCTCAATTTAGGAAGGTATGGGAAAACACTAATATTAATTTGGCTCAAGTGCCATGTCATTGGAGTGCCAAGGCTGCAAACACCAGGCTTACAGGTACAGACCACCCTACACCCGTCATAGTGGACTGGGAAACTGAACCAGGATGAAAACCCTGGCTTATGTATTGACAGGCTGACAGGGATAGGTTGCTATACCACTTGTTGGAATTTTAAAAAATGTTATTAAGGGCTTCTGAGTCCCATTGCACCATAGCTACACCAGTTCTATGGTGCACTTGGTATTATACTTGTGCACAAGTCCTACTTTTCATATGAGGAGTCTTTATCACTAACATATCTCCTGTCTAGCACAATGGCAGGTACATAGTAGCCATTTTGTAAATGTTAGGTGAGTAATTCAATTCAACTTGTTAAGCAAATATGCTTTGTCCTATTTAGCTGAGGATACAACAGTGAACCAAACAGGCAAAATCCAGCTCTCATGGTATTTGCATTCTAGTGGGGGAGAAGACAGATAATGGATGACAACAACAACAAAATATGTAAGATGTTAGAGAGAAGGACTATGGAGAAAGAGAACGTGAGGTAAAGAGGAAAAAGTGTTGACGGGGTGGGGAGGTGTGTTGTTATTTTATATAGGATGGACAAAATATTGTTATTTTATATAGGGTGGACATTTTATATAGGATCGATAAATTTACTGAAGAATCATGAAGGGAACGAGGGGACAAGTCACTCAGATACCTAGGAGATTTCATGAAGGCAGAAAGTGCAGCAAATAAAAATCCCTGATGGCCGGGCACGGTGGCTCAAGCCTGTAATCCCAGCACTTTGGGAGGCCGAGGCGGGTGGATCACGAGGTCAACAGATCGAGACCATCCTGGTCAACATGGTGAAACCCCGTCTCTACTAAAAATACAAAAAATTAGCTGGGCATGGTGGCGCGTGCCTATAATCGCAGCTACTCAGGAGGCTGAGGCAGGAGAATTGCCTGAACCCAGGAGGCGGAGGTTGCGGTGAGCCGAGATCGCGCCATTGCACTCCAGCCTGGGTAACAAGAGCGAAACTCCGTCTCAAAAAAAAAAAAAATAAAAAAAAAAAAATCCCTGAGATGCGGATGGATTGGGTGATGGAAGAGAGATGCCACGAGGCCATGTGGATAGAGCGGAGTGAAGACGGAGGTGAGGGATGGAGGCACGGTCATGGATAAGGAAAGAAAGGTGGAGATGGGATCAGAGAAACAGCCACTGGGGTGAGGCTGGGGGAGTCTCAAAGGGCAGCTCATGGAGGGCCTCATAACAGCATTATGAAACATTTTGTTTTTACCTTGAACAAGATAGGAGGATTTTGAGCAAAAGAGTGACATAGTATGTTGGGACTTTTTAGGGGGGCAAAAGTGGAAGAAGGGAGACCAAGTAGGTCTCTCTGAATAAATTAGTGGATGAATGAATGAAAGCCAATTAGGAAGCAGACAAAGAGGAATTCATTCTTGTGTGATTCTCGATGGTTTCACTCAGGTATATACATTCACTCCACACTCCTGATTACTCTTATTTTTTAAAAAGGTTGTTTTTGGCCAGGCACAGCGGCTTACGCCTATAATCCTAGCTCTTTGGGAGACCAAGGTGGGCAGATCGTGTGAGTCCAGGAGGTCAAGACCAGCCTGGGCAATATGATCAAACCCCATCTCTACCAAAAAAAAAAAAAAATACAAAAATTAGCGAGGTGTGGTGGCATGTGTCTGTAGTTCCAGCTACTCAGAAGGCTGAAATGGGAGGACTGCCTGAGCCAGGGAGGTTGAGGCTACAGTAAGCTATGATTATGCCAATGCACTTCAGCCTGGGTGACAAAGAGAGACCCCTAGCTCAAAAAATAAAATAAAAACTAAATGGTGTTTCTGTCTGCTTTTCTCAATTCAGGCCAACTTGACTTTCTAAGGTATAGGTCACAAGTAGTTGGTGATAAATATTTTTCAGAACTGGAATGACAGAAAATTATGCAAACTCTTTGTCCAGAGAAGATTCTGCAGAACAAATATATATGAATAAAGCGTATCTACAGCTAACGCTCATGTTGTCTACTCGCTTTAACAGTTCGGACGTGTGCTCTGTAGGAGGTAGCTTGTAATTTCTATTGATATGTGAAGGTGGCAAATGGCCTTTCTGTTTTGAAGATGAAAGAGAAAGGACATGGAGAATCCAGAGTCCACAGTGTTTGTTTCTCTATAATATTCTGGGCATAGAATGAAATCTAGATGTTGTTTAAAGAGACACGAAGTTGAAAGGTCCTAGTGGCTTGCTAGTACACTTAAAGGTGGAGTTACTAATTATATTAGTTTTCCAGCATAATATTGTTAAATTTTGAGTTTTAAATCTAAAACTAGTGTTTCTGAACAGTCAAGAGGATTCATGATTAGTCGTACCAATTTCCACTTAAAATATATATGGCGATCCAAGTTCTAATTGTATTTAATTATCAGTTTCAAAATTTTTTATAATATAGTCTAGTGTTCTTTATACACATTTACTTTTTTTCTCCAGTTTTAAAAGTTGTATTTAGTTTTCTGAAATAAGATCTTGCTCTGTCACCCAAGCTGGAGAGCAGTGATGTCATCATGACCCACTGCCGCGTCTGCCTCCCAGGCTCAAGCGAACCTCCCACCTCAAATTCCTGAGTAGCTGGGACTACAGATGTGTACCATCACACTCAGCCTATTTTTGTATTTTTTGCGAAGGCAAGGTCTCCCTATGTTGCCAGGGGTGGTCTTGAACTCCTGGCCTCAGCAATCCACCTGCCTCAGTCTCCCAAAGTGCTGGGATTATAGGTGTGAGCCACTGTGCCTGGTTTCCCGTTCTTATCGTCATGAATACTAAATTTTTCCAAACCCTCGTCTTTGTAAGTGAAAAAGTTAAGAGCAATTCTTTCCTCACCTAGGTTTTCCCTTTGTTGATCAAATTCAGACCTGGAATCATATTAATGACAATATTGAAAATAACTCTTAGTTTTTTAGTTTTCTGTATAGATCACTAATCACTTTTAATCTTTTTTTAGATTACAAATCCCTTTGTTAAGTGAAAAATGTTATTATAGTCTCTTTTTATAGATTAATGCACACATACACATGCATAAAATACACAATATAATTTCAGGGAATCCATCAATTTTCTGAATCCTATCCATGGAATTCTTTAGCAAGAAGTCAAATATTTAATTACATTACATATGCATTCAGATCAAGTCCATTGTCAGTATGTACACATACAAGTGAAATCAGGCTCATGTAAATAGAAGGTGGTGAATTTTCCCTAGAATTTTTACTTTGCTCTGATTATAATTTTTTCTTTTTCTTTCATTTTTGGTCAGTTTTTCCTTACGTAGTAAGGGTCACAGAAAACTCGTTCCCTTGCTGCTTTAGGTGTTTTGGGAAGGCGTTGTTTCTTTCATGTCCTAATTCCAATGAACAACTGTTTTAATTTATATGTGGGTGATTCCCATCCGGGAAAAACTAAGACAATAAAAGACATGATCTGCACATGTACTTTTGTGAGACAATAAATTTCCTCATTGTTGACAGAACTGGATTAGAGTTTTCTGTTACTTGCAATAAAAACGGAACCAAAGATTTCTACAGTAAGTTCTCTCGATACATTTTTAAAAGCATGAAATCAGTATTCCTAATGACATGTTTTTACCTCTATTCTAGCTGTGCCACCTACTATTGTTAACCGAATTATTTTTTTTGCTTTTTACGATAAGGAATGAGAAGGCTATATTAGGATGTTTCACACTCAACAGGCTGAAGTGTTCTATTTTTTCTGATAGTGCACCAAGTGTCAGGCTTACTTGCTTGGATCAGCTCCTTTGAAGTAGGCATTGACTGTTTCGGTAAATGCTGCTGCAACAGGGAGAGTGTCCTGGGCTCCCATGGTTAGGGGGCTGGGTCCCCTGGAAGAACCTGCATGAAATGAAAAGTTTTCATTTATTATGCAAATAGGAGACACTTTAGTGTATGTGAAACTAAAAATCCATTAAAGGATTAAGGAATAAAATCTACCCCTTAATGTAAAAAAGTAAATGTGCTAAGAACCATAACTCTGGATATTCAACATAGAGCTCAAGTATTTAAAAGGAAATATTTGGCTTGTTTACAGACAAACACACTTGAAATTAATTCAGTTATGTATTTTGCTACAGAAACGAAAATCCAAGCAGAACAAAGTCACAGAGGTTTTCAAATGCTTTGCGTAAAACATAAGGCAGTATTTGCATGACAGTTTGTACAGCAGGTGGTTAATAAAGACAATTACTAGTCTCCTATTTGAGCATTCAGTCCAATAAATTGCCCATACTCAAAACTTTTTTCATTTTTTCATTTTGAATAGCAGCCAAGTGGTATCATGTAACCCATTTGTTTTTTTTCTGGATATTTCCATTTCAAAAAGCCCAGTTACTCTCAGATCAAGTAAGCTCAAGTTTACATGTCCAAAAACATACACAACCAAAATACACACATCAACTTAGTACAACACATAAATGCAGCAATTCACATGATCAAAAGTAACAGAAGCTCTCAGGGCACTCACTGGGTGCCTTACATGAATAATCTCATTCCAATTCCACATCTGCCCAGTGGGATAGGTATGATTATTCCCATTTTGTGGAAGAGGAAACGGAAGCTCCATGTATGTGACTTGTCCAAGATAATATAGTTAGTTAAGTGGCAAAACAAAAATTCAAACCTAGGTTTATCTCCCTATAAAACTCATGTTTTTCCAACTATATCATGGAGTGTTCCAAATGAATCATTTTCCTGAATCATTTTGCTGTGTGTAGCTTCTGAAAGTATCAACGTTTAGGATTATTGTATTGTTATTGATCTCTAGGCATGGTATTGAACAGCAAAGTTTTGGTAATTGTTACATAAAGTATTAAATTGTGTCACATACTCACTGCTTCCCCTTCCTGACAAACACTGCATTTACTTCTCCCCACTACCGGCATAGACTACATACTTTAGTGTTACGTTTGTTTTCTTTTGCCTTCAATAACTTTTGTCCTCTTCTCCAGGTCTGAAAATAATCTGCCAATTGTACACCTCCTTCCTCAATAAAGCTTTCCTTGATCATTCTAGTTCATGCTAGTCTGTTTTCTGCCTCCTCTTGGCTTTCAATATCTTGAACTTGGCAATTGACAATTAATTTAACAAGCAGTTATCTAATATCTACTATGTATCAGGTATTATGGTAGGTACTGGGGAGTCAAAAACATGATCTTTGTCCTCAATGAGTTACAGTTCAATGTGCTGATGTTATCAGCAGCAGCATTCCAATCATCAACATCATCAACATTTGCTAATCTTAATTACCTCCATTAACATTATTTGTTGCACACTTACTGTTTCATATATTACCTGTGTAAATGTATGAAGTAAGTATTGTCTTCATTTTATAGTTTGATGGAACCAAGGCGCAAAGAGTTTATAAACTTGTTCAGTCCTGCACAGCTGGTTTGCATAAAGTTTAAGATTGGCACTAGGGTATGTATGAGTTCAAAGTTTCGACTCTGAGGGCTTTATTATTTTGCCTTCTTGGTAGGGAATTACAGTACCACATGTACAATTACAGTGCCACTGGGTGAGTCTGAAGTTAGAGTGTGCATGCTAAGTCTTCGCTGCCCATAGAGCCCTATATTTTAAAAGGAAGGAACAATGGCATTAGGTTCTGTAATGAGACTGTGACAGTCCCTAAAACCTAGCCTGCACTATATTGGCCTTTCACTAAATAAATGTTGAATTATCCACAGTTGGGTCTCAGAAAAGTAAGGTTTGTGCACATTTATAAACAATAAAGGCACAATAAACACAGGCCGTTATTTGTAATAGTGTTGTTCAGTATTATTTGCCCACTCATTAGTTCAAATGTTTATTGAGCAACTACCAGATTTTGGAGAATGGCTAGTGGCTTCTCCAACTGTTGGTTAAAACTAGGCCACAGTGGTAAGAGGGCTGAACTGTTCTATCAGGGTCTTTTTCACTATGTGATTGAAACTTGGCATTTGGTGGGGAGGATAGATGAATCTACAATCAAATAGAGTGATTGGATAAATTCTTTAAAAGAATGTATGAGGAAAGCTGTATGAAAGCACTTAAGGCTGCTTGTATAGGTCAGCATAGGTTTCATTAAGATGATGTTGGAACTGAGGTCTGAGGATGAATATGATCTCACAAATGGTAGAAGGATTGAGGCCCACCATGTCCGTACGTGGGGAGCTGAGCATACACATTTTGAGAAACCACAGGAAGTGTGGTGTTGTGTGTGTATGCGAGTGTAGTGGGTATTGAAGGGTGACAGGAGCAAGATAGGGAGGAGTTTTGAGTATGAGGCTTGGGGAGTTAGTAATTAGGTCATGAAGAGTTTTATATAAATATTTAGAAAAATTTGTCTTTATAGCCATTAAAATCATAATTCATTTTTTATAATCTAGTACAAATCTAAGAATACTTTTCAGAGCAAAGCACACATATATGCATCATTTTTATTATTTAAAGTAGAATTATAAATTTCCTGAGGTTCTTGGAGTTTTGAAACTAGGGTTAGAACACCCTGAATGGAAAGTGGAGGCCTCTGGAGTATTTGAAACCAGGGAGATTTGCAATGGGCTTGAGTTTAGGGCATGCTAGCTATGTAAATGTGTGAAGTAAGCATTATCTTCATTTTACAGTTTGATGGAAACAAGACTCAAAGTGTGGTGAATAATTTAGTGGAGGAGACAATAATGTTGGTGAGGATATTTCTTAGGAAAAAAGATAAAAATGAGAAATGCAGGTGTTAGTATAGAAAGGGAATGTCATCATCATAATATTTTTCAATTCTGCAAAGCATTTAATAGTCTTCTATGATAGTCTTGGGAACAAAAGAGTAAAAGTTGTATGGATCATGGTCTTGCCAAGGGAATTGACAGTTAGACAAATCACAATATCCAAAGAGCATGAATCAGTAGCTATACATCCATTGTGAAGGAACTCTCTAGTGGATTAGCTCAGAAATTGGTCCCTAGCCTTGGGCTCTTCAGTGGCTTGGATAAAACTCAATAAAGTGCTCAGAAAGGGCACACTGTAGTGGCTAAGAGCATGGGATTTGGCATCAGACATACCTGGGATTGAGTCCTGTCTCTGACACTTGTTATCTAAATGATCTTTGGCAGGGATGATGTCATGATACCCATTTTGTAGGCCTGTTCTGAGGATAAAATGAGGCAAAGCATTTAGCACAGCGCTTGAACCACAGTAAGCACTCAGTAATGATTAACTATTTTTATGATGATCATCATGGCAGATTCATTAAAAGTGCTAAAAATTTTCTTAGATTTTTGAGGTACTAAACTGGAAATTATAAGAAAAATATCAGCAGAAACAAATGTAAAATTCAAATATATCGAGATTTAAAATTAATGAAACAATGTGGTTTGTGAAAACTTGCCTGGTAGAAGAATATGTGAAAAAAAAAAGCACCTGGAGGTTTTATTCAATCATCAACTTTCTATTATTGAGTTCTAAACATCTTCCCTCGCTTGGGCTGTATCAAAGGATGAGTAAGGCATACATCACTAGAAATGATGGTTGTACTGCTTTTTGTTTGCTTGTGTGCTTTGTTTTAAAGCTCATCGATGGGAATCGAAACACATATCCACAAGTTAAAGACCACATTCTTCAGTGTAACAATACACAAGGCCATCTGTGGCGTGATCGAGACCCATTTCTCCTTACCCGTCTCCTCCCATGCCCCAACAACAACCCCTCCTCTAGCTATGTTCAGCTCTGGACACCATAGTCCTTATTGCAGAATTGATCAATAATGCCAGGGAAGCAGAAACACACCAAACAACAAACATTTACAAAGAACCTTCTTACCTCTAAGGATCCAAAATTTACAGCCCTAATTTCTTCACATCCCTATACATCCCATTGATAACCCATTTTGTGTTTTACTTTTCCCCACTTACAATATTCCTTATTGCTATTTGGTCTACATATCATTTCCCACAACTATTTGTTATGCTACAGACATTCTTCTAATGTTGAACCACTTCTAGACAGCAAACGAAATCCATCTTTGTATAACCTGGTATTCTTTTTCTTTTTTAATTTCCTTAATATGTAATTTATTCCTACAAAGTAGAATGACCAAATCCAAAGGCAGATCAATGTTTAATTGACAAGAATACCAGGTGTTTTGCATAAAGATTATACTCAATGAAAATGATACGAGTAATAAATGAATGCTTTTGCTCCCCCATAGCACCTCAGAGAGTTTTTGTTTAGTCTCATTACTGGAAAATAGAGGTAAAACCAGAAAAGTGTCCAACGTGATGAGAAATTCAAACCTTATGGCCTAAGAGGACTAAGAGTGGACTGGAAATTGTTTTCTAATAACTGAAATAATATTAACAGACAGCGACTCTGGAGACCAGAGTTCAAGGCTATAGATCTGTAAGTTAATAGCTCTGTAGCCTTGGGGAAATCTATTATATTAATGTTAGGTTCTCTCGATCATGAAATGAAGGCAGTAGACTGCATAGTGTCTGTGTTTTAAGATCCTATGATTTTAAGTTATCTATAGGCATTTACAATTTTTACAGTAAGAGCAACTTTTTAACAGAAGAATAAACTGCCTTGAAAACAGCCTATCCTCACTGAGGATTTGGGTGGATCTGGCATATTTCTGAGACACTACCACGTGCAAGATAGTGGTGAGAACACAAATATGTAGTCTTTCAGGAAGAAAAGGCATAAATATATGGAAAACTAAATAACAATGATGTATGCAAACAAGAGGTTAGGTAAGACAATAGTGTAAGTGACATCACTATGGTGTTATTTCACTGCAAGATTAATTACCAAATAAGTGGTGTGGCAGATGCTATTAGTTGATTTAACAAAGGAAACCTGGACTCTAG